TGCATTCTAATTCAGTTAAGCATAATTCTAAATTTTTTGATTTCATTTATTTAAGGTGCATTCCAATGTCCCAAACCTGAGGGCGAATATCCTGATGATGTCCAGTGTGATAAATACTATCAATGTAATGATGGCATAGCAAAAGAAAAGCTGTGCCCAGATGGCTTAGTGTTCGATCCGCTCAATAGACACATCAATAAGTGTGATCAACCTTTCAATGTAGATTGTGGTGACCGAACTGAATTGCGTAAGTTTTAATCGTTATTTTAATATCTACATATGCTTACATTAAGGAGTCTTGCAAAATTCTGATAATGAAATAACAACTTCATAAATTTAAAATAAACAAGAATTGTTATATAATTATACACATATGTACCTCGGTATATATTAAATATGTTTTTGAACTATTTTTATTTCAATAATTACTTTAAATTACAGAGGAGCCAAAATCTTCTAAATTTTGTCCTCGTAAAAACGGATTCTTCGCACATCCTGATTCTTCTGTATGTGACATTTTTTACAATTGTATCGACGGAGATGCATTAGAAATGAAATGCACTGTTGGATTGCACTTTGATGAATTTGGTGGAACTTGTGTTTGGCCAGATACTGCGAAACGTGAAGGTTGCGAAGCACCACAGAGTAAGTAATACTTCTTTTATACGGATAGAAAACTTAATTATCTTAAAATCTGCTGTGCTACGTATATAGTATAAAATTCATATTTTCTACACACTTGTATTTTGAATTATTTTCATTTGGCTTAGAAAAATCTCCGACCGGATTTGTGTGCCCCAAGGATCGCCCAAAGAATGATGATAAAGGTCAGGTAGTTACTCATCCGAAGTTCCCCCATCCTACAGACTGTCAAAAATTCCATGTCTGCTTAAATGGGGAAGATCCACGCGACCTTGCCTGTCAATTAGGCGAAGTCTACAATGAAGAAACGGAGATGTGTGATGCTCCTGAAAATGTTCCCGGTTGTGAAGATTGGTACAAGGATTCCGATGACAAAAAAGAATAAAAATAGATTTCATTACGTGTGTCGACGTAAATATGTATATTTTATGTTCTACTCCAAGACCTGTGGTAATATACTCTTGCCAGACACTACGTATATGAACACTTTTTAAATTATGAATCGTGTTTTAGAAGTACAATATCTGTGGATATTAAATAAATAAGCCATATATTTTATAATTTATAAGTTCATAATTAAAATACGGAATTACTAAGATCGAATGGTATATTTGTTATAAAATATTCAGGGATCTAATTTGTTTTGCAGCACAATTTACGAAAGATTAATAAATTCAGGTAAGAATGTAAAGAAAGCTATTAGAAGTTTTCTTTATTTTTGATTACAAATTTCTGTGGCACGTTATACAAGCGAAGATGAAAGGAATTATCCCTGGAAACCATACATACAACTTGTATACCTCTGTTCGAATTACAATCTCATTATCAAATTGGTAAAAATTTAGAGGTAAATTGCTGAGTGGAGTATTAATT